GGCAGCTCCTGTCCAGAGGCAAGATGAGAAGGCAGAAAGGGACAGGAGCTGGTTGAATGGACACCGGAAATCTGGGGTGGAAAAAGGGAGTGTACTGCCACATTACAGGAATAGCAACTAGGGTCATATAACTATATGTGTATAAATCTTTGTATGAGAAACTAACTTGAGCTGTAAACTTTCACCTAAAGCACAATAAAAAATAAAAATAAGTGCTATACAAGAACTAAAAAATACATAATAAGATGTATGAAGCTATCAAAGAAAATGTCCGAGACAATGCAACAGTTAACCTGTATTTTGTCCAAAGGCATTACAGTTGGCCCTCCATATCTGCAGGCTTCATATCCTGGATTCACCAACCACGGGGCGGGGGGAGAAGTTCCAAAAAGCAAAACTTGAATTTGCAGCATGCCGAGCCCTAGACTGAATCGACACGAATGACGTGACGTGTAGGCATACCCTGCTGTAGCCTCCCACCATTTCACAGATCCTCAGTTTCTCTCCAGCACTCATTGTTTGACCATTGTTCATCTTCTCATTATTCCCTAAACAATACAGTACTTAGTGTATAACAACTATTTAAATAGCACTGACATTGTATTAAGTATTATAAGTAATCTAGAGATGATTTAAAGTACACAGGAGGATGTGCATAGGCTATATGACAATGCTACACCATTTTATATCAGGGACTTGAGCATCCTCAGATTTTGGTATCTGCAGGGGGTCCTGGAACTAATCCCCCAAGGAATGACTGTATCAGTACTGCATTCTATTCTTGGCACACAAAAAAATTCTTTTGTCTGCTTGTACACAAATTAATGGGAAGGGTGTTGCCTAGAGAGTATGTTTAACCTTATTGCTATAGTTCTGGTAAGAAAAAATAAAGTCAGTTCACTTCCTCAAACTTACGTTAATACTAGGCACTCTGGCTTATGATGAGCCTAAATATAAAAAGGAATCATTTTCCAACCTGCACACACTTACTCAAGGAGCCCTAGTTAAATACGCTGCTACTAACCAAAAGGTTGGTGGTTCAAACCCACCCAGACGCTCCAACACACCCAGCTGCTCTGGAGGAGGAAAGACCTAATGATCTGCTCCAGTAAAGATTACAGCCTGAAAAACCCTATGCGGCAGTTCTACTCTGCCACATGAGGTCACTTATGTCAAAATCGACTTGATGGGGCAGTTCTAAGTTCTACTCTGTCACATGGGGTCACTACGAGTCAAAACAGACTCAACAGCACCTAACAACAACACACTCAAATCTTAATATCCCCCCTGCCCATTGACCTTCTTCCATGGAGATAACCCAATAGCCAATGAATGAATTAGTAATTGCTCCCTCCCACTTCTTCCTAAATATATAAGCACTACTATTTGAGGAAATATTGTTAAGTAAAACTGAAAAAAAATCTGCTTGAGAATTACTGATGCTCCAAAAAGCAAGTTATACTAGATGTTAAAATACTTCAGTATTTCTAAAAATACCTCTTCAATAACCTGACCAACAATTTTTACTGCAAACCCACTACTGAAGCAGAGCAGGCATGGTTATTTTAGGAAACCCTGGTAAAATCACTACATTTTCTAGTGCAAATAAATGGTAGTATAACTTGGCTTTTGGTAACTGACCGCCTACATGCAACGTGGTGATTCTGCTAAAGAACTGCTTTCATCAACAAATGTACTAAAAACATCCTGTGATAAGTTTCTATGTAAAATTAAAACTATAAGCTACTTGTGAATGTAGATCTTGCTCAATGTTTATCTTTGTTGTTGTTGTGTGCGATCGAGTCGATTCTGACTCATAGTGACCACATACGACAGAACAGAACTTCCCCCACAGGGTTTTCTAGGCTGTAACCTTTACGGGAGCAGATCTCCAGGTCTTTTCTCCTGTGGAGTAGCTAGTGGGTTTGAACTGCTGACCTTTCCATTAACAGCTGAGTATTTAACCACTGTGACACCAGGGTTCCTATATTTATCTAATAGAAGTTAAATTCGGATTTTTGCAAGACTAGGAAATACAGCCTTCAGACACAGGACTTGGTATTTAGCAATCATAATGGTTGGTGTACAAGAAAAAGTTACTCAACAGGTTTACTGCTCTAATGGTGGCTTGGCTAGCTTACATGCAAGCAAAAGATAAAAGGTATATCTTTGGAATAAACATAAGGCATAATGCAACCATAAAAAAAAAAACTGGGCAAAGTATATTCAGTAGTAAACCAACACAACAAAACCACAGTAAATGGACCTCCTTTGTTTCTTAGTCACTGAATTTGTTTTGTATAAAACTGACGAGCCTTAATTTCCTGTAACATCAATGATCATGTAATACAACTATGCTTCCTATTGTAAGCAGAGGACTAAAAATCTTGTAAACTTGTTCGCCTAGCTACTTAATACCCAACTTCCATAAATATATTCTCCTAAAACAAGGCAGAAAGCACATTAAGAGAAAGTTCTGACTTTTAGCTCCACTTGCTATTAGGGAATAATAGGTGTCATGAAAATGCTGTCCCAGATTCTAAAGTTTCTCCCTCAGGGCATTATGGAGACATCTGCAGGTACAGAATCTACACAGAACCTAAAGAGTTAAGAGACACTGGCCTCTGAAGGGAGACTGCTAAAGATATTTCCAAAGAAACACTCACTCAAAAAGAAATGATAAACCAATCATCTTGAATGGGGTCAACCAGTATCTACCATTTATTTAGTATATACTAGGGAAACCCTGGTGGCATAGTGGTTAAGAGCTATGGCTCCTTACCAAAAGGTCAGCAGTTTGAATCCACCAGGCGCTCCTTGAAAACACAATGGGGCAGTTCTACTCTGTCCTGTAGGGTCGCTATGACTCAGAATTGACTCAACGGCAAGGGGTTTGGTTTGTGTTTGTTCTTGGTTTTGTTTTTTTAAGGGACTTTACACATGGTATTTAATTTAGTCAAAATTCACAGGTAAACATCTCTCACACCTGAATCATCAGACATAGGTATACTGTCAGTGCCTGCCAATCCAGCCAACAGTAAGCACATAAATCTTCCAGAAACCATGGTTTGTTATATTGCCAGGAGTGAGTGAGTCAACATAAGTCAGCACAGAGTGGAAGGCTGGCAGGGGAGGTTCTAAAAATTTTTATAAATTTGTATCATAGCTACATAAGAAAAACGGTTACTTAAAAACCAGAACTTTTGTCAATATAAAAAATTAATCATTAATGCCATTATGATAAAAAAAAACAACAACAACAATCTATACGGTTGATGACAGGTGAAGATTTTTCTTATTAAAAATAAGGAAATTTTTCAAAGGAATTAGCTGCTATAGTCACCTGCTTGTCTCACAAACAATTGTATCTGAGGCCAAATAAAACAACTATCCTGTTGGAATAAAATTTAATATATCATTCTTCCTTTAAGAAAGTAAGTTACCTTTAAAATAACCATATATACTTTTTAAACTGGTCAAATAACTAATTTAACTTCCAAACTCCAAGGCAAAGTAGTTATTTCAAAGAATGTGCCACCATCTGGCCTAATTTGGCACTGTTCAAAAGAAGCCAAATGCTCAGGTAGAGCAACTCTTTGAACTACCTTGTAGGTTTAACCACATTTCACATTATTGGTTAGGTAAACTTTTTACTTAAAGGTTAAAAACAATCCTCAAAACCCTTTGTGCAAATGCTTTCTTCAGGTGGCCGTTCTAGCAAAGTTTAAAGTGCCATGTGCAGGTTCTGGCAGGCACCCTCCAGTAAGTCAGAGTCCAACTGTGAGACAAGCCTTTATTTCTTTTCCATCCCTTAGCAGTGGGTTTG